CTATAAATCAAGGCAGGGAGAACAGCTTGAACAGTGCGGTAGTTGCTAAATAACCAGGCCAGTCTGCTTCAAGCAGAAGCTCTTAAAAAATCAGTGAGTGATCATATTGACAACTTGGAAGTATAAATCTGGTGGCATGCAAAATAGCCCAAACATTTCACATCCTTCTCAACCCTGGGTTGATTAAGCCCCTGTCCTTATAGCCCACACCAGGAAACTATGTACCAAATAAAACTGCAAAGTCATTAGACTTGTACTTTTTTTAGAATCTCAAAATTAAAAAAAATTGAATGGAGAATTATTCAGATAGGAACTCCAGAAGCATCTGATCGTTGGTGGATGGGAAGTATGAATAGCATGCCTCATTCATAAACTCCTCATTCAACCAGACTCCCAGCATCCACATTAGCAAAACTGACAAGGATGACAACAAAGTGTGCAGGATCTTTGGAAAGTCTAGTCAAGCGTCCACGACATATGGAGACCTGGGGCAGGCTGAGTGATGGGCCTATGGCAGTGACATCGCAGGAAGCTCGCTTCTGTCCCTACCTCTCCCCTTACTACCCTAGGTCTAACTGCTTAACTGTTGGTCAGCAACAGGATTCACTGCCAGCACTTGGATGGTGCTTTACCGAGTTCTCTAACATGCCAAGTGTCACAGACACTCCCCCTTCCCCCAAAGCTCACAAGGGACCACGCCATCTTCTAGCATCCACAAAAGTCAACAGTGAGGCTGGAATATCCTTCTCCACTTCTCCAAGACCTCACATTTCTATGTCTTGATGAAAAGCTGCCATCTCTGGGGAGCACTCCCTGATGCCTCCGTCCGAATTCACTGAACTCCCTCCTCTGTACTCCAGCTGCACACTGCTTAGGACTCATTTCATTGTTTGCTCTTGTATCTGATGGTGTCTTTACTAGCTTGGGTGTATCTCTTGCCATTAGAGGGTAATGAGGAAAGAGACATTTTCTTGTGCACGATTGTATCCCTACTGCTTAGAACAGAGTGCCTGGCACACAGTAGGTCCCGTGGAGTGAAGGAGTTAATTCTGCCATGGAGAGTCGCAGTGCCTGAACTTCTGCCTAGGAGGCAGGCAGGGATGGCAATGTACTTGGAAGGGGATGGAAACTTACATTAACAAACTCTTGGCTTTTACTGTTGATTTAGCTTCAATGTAAATGTGGATTTTGATAAAATTTTGGGGGACAGTTAAAGCACCCTGGGTAGCACCTCTTTGGGGTCCCCAGCTGTCCTGGATTGGTTGTTTACATGTCTGGCTTCCTGGCTCAATAATGAGCTCCTGAAGAGTGGGTCTTCCTCATCCTATACCCTCCCAGCCTCCATCAAGGCCTTTAACTCGCAAGGGGTAGAAGAAATGCATGAGTGAACAAATAAGCCAATGAGTGAATAGTAAAACCTCTCCTAAGACTGGCCTGTCTGCTCTGGTCAATTGATGTCAGGAGCCAAAGGTAAGTGCTCAGTTCTGTTTAAAACCAAGAACAAAACTTTGGGGTCAGGGTGGGAGGCAGGGCAAGCCAACATGTGAGAGCCAGACTTGAGAAGCTCCGGTGCAGCAAGAGAAACCAGAAAGCAAAACCGGAAAGATATAAGGGCATCCTGATAGATGCTTTCCTTGTAAAAGAGGTTCAAGTACACACTGGATGAACTTCTGAGTTTCCTGTTTTTAAACCTTCCTTGTGATCAAGTTGGAGCTGTACATCACCCCTTTTGGCAGTGGGGGGTTATGCTTGTTTGGAATAATCAGGCGCTTGTGGCTCAGTCTGTGCAGAAGCACAAAAGAAATGTGGCAGCTGGAAACCACAAAGTCAGCAGGCTAAGATGGCTGGGGTACTGGGTTCTGGTGCTGCTGGTTCTGATGGGCGTCCACCCACGGGCCCAAGGGGTCCCAGCTATGAAGCGGCCATGTCATCTCTGCAGTCCTTTCTGGCCCTGAAATCCTATGATTTATGTCCTAATCACACAGAGTTATCTCTAGCATAAAAGGAATTTTCCCCAGCAGAAAGGTATTGGTTAATACAGGCCTGAACTAAAGCACTGTAAAATATATGTATATAATTTACTAGCATAAATACTTTATTATTTGAGCATAATGGTTTCCCAATAATTAGTGAAAAATAATCCTAATTTCAAGTGGCATTCACTAAAAGGATGTCTGCTCATGGAAAAATTTAAAAAGCAGAATTGCTTCTTCACTTGCTGCTACATTATTGTGAATGGTATACAGTTTCTCATGTGAATACTTAACTAGAACGTGCTGCAGAACGGGCATGCTCTTTTCTGTTAGGCATTATGGTGGATCCGATTATGTGTTTTGTTATAGAAAATTAACCTTACAGCACCTTGGTTTCCTCATCTATGAAGTCTGAAGGAATGGAGTTTATTCATATCTAAAATGTAGAAGGTTACATCCTGTGACCCCACAAACTCACTTTGCTTCTTCATTGGGGCCAACTGGCAGAACAGCTGAATCTGCCTGTAAGTGAGCTCTACGACAGAGCTTCCTGCAACATCCAGGGTCTTGCCACCAGCAGCCAAGGAGACCGGAGCACTGACAGGCACCTGTTTCCCAGCACCCTAGCTGGGATCTCCCCCAGGTGTTAAAATGTGGGGGGCACGTACTTCCAACAAGGATGTCAAGCAGCTAGTTTGGGTGATCTCTTCCTGGGTGGTTTCAGTTACAATGTGTTCCCACGAGTTCTGCATAAAATGCCATGATCCTCAAAGTAACGACGCAGGGAGTTACCTGAGAACCCTACTTGGAGGGACAAGCAGAGGCTCAGGGGCAAGTAATTTGCCCAAACAACTACAAGCCTCCCAACCTTCTCTGCACTGACCCCCCACATTCTATTGACTTTAAGAATTCAGAGTCCTTGACAAGTGGGCCCCACAACCTCTTTGGATAAGGTGTGGGCTGGACCTTATAAACTCAGTCACCCCTAGAGCCTTAGTTAACCCCTGCAAGGCAGTTATAAAAGCTCCATTTCACAGATGGGTTTTGCCTCCTGGCCAGAGTGAGTCACAGAAAGTCCTAGGGCTGGTCAGTTTTGTGTTCAAATTCTCATTCTGGCCCACAGGTGATGTTTGAGACCATAACTCTTGAGGATCAGTGGTCCTAGCTATAAAATGGGGGTAAGTACCTGGGTACCAGAGTGAGGGGGCCCCAAAACTTGGAAATAAAATCACCATTCCAGAATGAAATCACCAGTTCCAAGATGAAAACACAGAGAAGCCAGATTATGTTAAAGTGGTAATTAATCATGCGTGCAATTTCAATGTATCCTGGTTCTAAGTTCTGGTGGGGATGGGGGTGGGGCAGGAACAAGGCACATGTTTCACTACATTTATCCCAGTACCTAGTCATATAGTAAGCACTCAATAAGTGAATAAATGAACATACCTGAGAGAAGAATACATCAATCAGAAAAGCCAGTAAGGGCAGCCCAGAGAAATAAGGCCAACTCTACAGTGACCATCAAAGCCGGCTGGGAGAGGAAATACTTAGCCTTCCACTGCTGATTCAGATCTCCCTGGAAATATGTTCACAAACTGGTCACACTGAAATAATCCAGGCCCTGGGGCCATTGCTCGTATAATAAGATTAATGAACTGGCACTCTGGGTCACACATAGGTCTGTGAGCTGGTACAATCTAGTATCCTTGAGGGATGGGCTTGCTCTCAGGCGCAGCCAAACCCGGGGCCACAGTAGTTGGGAAGATAAAACAAGTCTCCTCATGAGGTCTCCTGTGGGCAGCCCCGCTGGCCAGCCCCAGGTGATCTCTGAACCTCTGAGCTGAAGGATTTGCTGTTATTTTTCTGTGAACACCTATTTTTGCAGGGTTGTTGTGAGGATGCAGGGAGTGAAAAGGACTGGCACAGAGTAAGTCCTCAATAAATAGTAAAATTACCATTGCTTTTTTAGACACATCTAATAAATGACTGAGTCAGAATTCCCTGAACAAAAAGACGTGCCACTTTCTGTCCCATAAAGCTTATGGTGTAGAGTACAAATAAGGACCATGGTGAACTGAACGGGTAGAAGTCAGATGAGTCTACATAGGAAAGGGAAAGCCATGATGAGCAGGAGCAGTGTAGATTCACAAACAGCGAATCCAACCCAAGAACACAGTGCCCTCCCACAGGGTGGTGGTCATGAGCGGGTAGGGTGCGGCTGTCACAGTGTCTGGAGGGCAATTCCAGCATTTAGTCTGTAGAGGCCAACATCTCACAAGGCTCCCGGCATCCTATGAAGTAAACCATCCTACCCTAGATATCAGCAGCTCCCTGACCTCAAACACTGTACATAGACAGTGACAGATGAAGGACAAAGTAGTCAAGACTCAGAGGAAATGAGGAGAGTTCGGCACAGGGAATGAAAAGGGGAGGCTCTGCAAGCACACAGCCTCACTTACCTACTTTTCTTCAGGGCAAAAGGAGGATCCTGTTGATATAGAGAAGTAAGCGTTCCTTTGGCCTATGGTAAATCACATAGGGCTGTTCCTGGTACCATTCTGCTCTGGTTTTTGCTCCGGCTTCCTGGTCATTTCCAGCCCCAAGCCCAAAATGCAAAGAGGTGGGATGTTCACATGGTTTGTCTGATTTCTTACCTCACTTACCTTTCTCTGAAAGTTGACATGGCCCTGAGGAACGGGGTGGGTCCCCAGACTGCTCATTTTACAGTGTTGGAAGAGGTGACAAAATGCACACTTAGAAACAGCCAGCAATATGGTGAGGACTGGCGCGTGCGTGCGCACACACACACGCACATGCACACACACGCGCGCGCGCACACACACACAACAAGGAAGCTTTCTGGCTGAAAAGAAAGTGGAGCTTTTTTATCTTTCAAATTTACAAGTCCTGCATTTGCAGTGTCAAAGGCGAGGCAAGTTCTCTGAAATGGAAAGGGTAGCTATGTTATGCACAAGGCGTCACAACTTTTCACCCAGAGAACTACGAAGCAAGCATGCATATACATACCCCGTTCGGGCACTGTCGCGATAGGGCAGCACTGAAAATATGCTACAGAAGGATCTTCTGCCACTGATAAGGACTATTCTAAAAAATAAAAAACAAAAACAACAAACAAACAAACTAAATGCGAACACTCTTAAATTAAAAAAACAAACAAACCATAGCGATTAAGCATTCATGGAATTCGCAGCAGTATTTGCACACTCCCTCCGCCTCCTCTGGCAGATGGTATCCTGGGCTCCTTGCGAAACGCAACCTCAGCGCAGCACCAGGACGTGGCTCCCCTCATCCGAAGGTCGGTGTGTGCAATGCTGGCGAGGGACTCTAAGGGGGCACGCATGCACCGCCTCGCCGCTGAGAGCTGTTGGCCGTGGGCCACACGGCAGGATGGAGCAGACAGAGCCAGGAGTCTGGGGGCCCAGTGCTGCCAACAGTCATGCCGCATGTAACCCCCCACATCTACTGTGCAGGGAACGACGCAGGAGCAATCGTGCTGGGAGCAAGAGACACACTCAGATGCCACCATGACCATCAGGTTTTTATGTGCTGGCAGCACGTTAGGTTCTGAGAATAAATTAAGGGAACAATTACATAATCAGTCCTATCCTCCATTCCTGCTATAAAGAAACTACTGGAAACAGTTCTGCATGATGCTCTTATGCAATCAAAGGCCACTTAAGAAAACATTAAAAAAAAAAAAAAAAAACCTCTCAAAAGTACTTATCCTGGCATATGAAAGTAACTTTTGCCAAAGACAACTGCTGATTAAAAAAACGAGAAACAAGCAGAGGATGTTACTAGAAACAAACATCAGATGTGGAACTTACGGACTTTTGTAATCTTTTTCTTCAGTAAAACTGTATCAAGGTTTGGAGATTCTGCACTTGTTTTAAAACTGTGATATTAAACTGTCGAGTGGCCCAGCATAAAGTCGGGTTCCCTAGCATGGCAAAGCAGGCCCTCTGTCTTCTGGCTCTTTCTGCTTCTCCAGTCTCTACGAACAGGACCTCCCCTCAGCACTTCATCATCCACCCATCCTAAAGGACTTGCCGTCCCCCGCCTTTGAAAGATCGCTGCAGTTTCATACCCCTGTCCTTTGCATGTGGGTTCTTCTGCCTGCTATGCCCAACTCAGTAGGGTTAGTGAACTCCTATTTATTCTTAAAAACCTCGCCCCAGGAAGCATTTCCTCTCCCTTCACAGAGTTACTCATTCCCTTTTTGGTGCTGTCGCTGGCTCCTGATTTCCACTGCCAGAAGTGTACCAATCAGAGGGCCACTCGCCACTGCCTCCCTCTTGTTTTGGAGGAGGGGTCCGGAGGTAGAGCACATGGCAGCCCCTCCATCAATGGTGTGGGCGGTGCTATGCTTCAGGGCAGACCCTGAGTCCCTGTCCCTGGAAGGCAGGACCACAGCTGTCTGTCCATCCCATGGTGATTCATCTGACATGGTTAAGGGGACTAAAGCAACAGTCCGAGCTGCAAGCCATCAGCTGTGTCACCTTTGCATGACTTCGGACCACTGATGAACTCTTCTGAGCCTCAGTTTCCTCAACAAAAACAACAGGATAAAACTGCTAACTAACCTATTGGAATGCTGTAAAGAGTAAGTGAGTCTATACTGGGAAAGCCCTCAGAACTGTGCCTGGCAAATAATGCACACTCGATAAATATTAACTGATTTTACTGGGGACCTCCCTCTTGGGTTGAGGGGGGTTTCACCAGCAAAGTACCTGGATTCTGAACCTCTTCAGAGCTCTGTGCTAAAACACACAGGCGTGCAGGACGTGAAAGGTGTACGTACTCCAAGGACACATGGCCCATCTAACAACTGTGGAACATTCACACAGGGGTGTCTCTCCTCTCTCAAGGGAGAGGTTTCTTGTCAGGTTCCCACAGACCCGAACCCTGTCACTGCTGCAAGAACATAAGTGTCACAGCCAGAGTGCACCACCAAGGCCTCAAGAGCCAAGAGGTAAATAAACTGTAAGCACGCCACCTTGCTAAGCAGCAGCCAGGCTCCTTGGGCTCTTACTCAGAGAGACCACAGACAGATTCTGACACTGTAATGCCTGTGTGCATTTACTTAAGCAGACATAATAATAAATACTTATTAAGTATCCATTAGATGCCCCATTCTAAATGCTTCAGCTAAAGAGAGCAAGTAAGTGACATGCTAACGGTGGGGACACACTAGTGGGTGAGACCAACTGGGGATCTGAAGTCATGCTCTTCACCACTTCTCTAAGACTTACTACAAGAGTCTTCTCCTGTAGGTTTGATGGGGGTATTCGCAGACTTCCTAGACATCAAGAAGTCTGCCTTCATCCACATTTTCTAGGGTGGCTTTCCAGCCTGGCCTGAAGGTTACCAGGCTGGAAATGGGTGGGGGCCAGAGGGTGACCCATCACAACAGCCCTGATATCCGAGCTCCTGGCACCACCGATGCCTCATTCTCCTGCTCTTCTCAGCCTGGGCCCCTTTCCAGAAAGAGGTTCTTTACACAACCCCCAACGTCCCCTGCCATCCACCCAAGAGAAAAGCCTGGAACTACCCATTCCTTGTGGTGCTCCACATCCGTGTCTTCTGCAACACAGAGGAAGGAATGTGTTGAGCAAACTCATCTGGCTTAGTGTTAGTTCATTTTCTTCATTACTTGGTGCTAACGTACGGTTCCCTCCCACACACTGAATTTGTTTGGACATTTTTAATAGAACAAGAAAACTAGAGAACACAAATGCATGCGAAATTAAGTATTCTTTCCAAAGTCCCAACCACAATGTGTCTATTAGCAAACGGGATGCATTAGAGTTCTGCTAAATGAGTGCTCATCTGTGTGGTCCTCACCATTTAGGTCTAGAAGAGGCTGACAGCCCGAGTTTCATTCAGAAAAAATGTGTTGTTTTAACACATAGGTCGGGTTTAGCAAATATGAATATGGAACGTTTCCCAACAATCCAGTAGGTTTGGTCCTTTCGCAGACGACCATTCTCAAGCAGTTAGGAGTGGGGAGGAGAGAAGGACGGACCACTGCATCTTTGGGCACTTCCTTTCCTTTTTGGGGCTGGACCATCCTGTTGACTTCCACTTTATGCAGGGTTCAGAGGAGGAATCCAGAGCAGAGACCCACACAGCAGCTCTGCACAAGTCTGTGGCTGTTCAAGCCCTGGGGAGCTCGAAATAGCTGACAGAGATGAGTACACATCCAGCGTGTTTCCTGAAGTATCTCTGAATCCAGGAGGGCCTTCTGGCCTTAGCCAGAGCAGGCAAATATCAACAGATGACAAACTCTCGCCTTCTGTCTCCTCCAAGAACAACTCTGAGCAGTATAAACCTAACGACAGGCCCCTCGTGACCAAGCGCTATGCCCCAAAGCTGGAGGGTTCCTATGAATTTGCAGCTTTCCTCTCTGGATTGGGGAAACATCCATAATCATGGTGATCCAAGAAGAAAATCAGATTCATTTGCCTCTTCAAGAGCTTCTATATTTGTGGAAGAATTCAATCAGATGGCAGTCATCAAGAATGACAGTAGACAGCCAAACTCCGCCTCCAGTGGTCTTCGGACACTGGCCACCTCCATGTCTTGGCCTCCAACCGGTACAGTTATTTTCCTGGATGCTCAAATTGCATGCAGAAGGCCTGTATCATTTTCCTTTCTGTGACATTTAACACTTTACTTGGAGTCAAAGTGACCAGAAAGCATTACACCGAAGATTATAACTTCAAAAGAGGAATTAACTCCAGAGGAATAGTTTTTTTAAGGAATTAAAGATCACATTTCCATACAAACATTTGCCAAAGAAGAAAAAAGAGAAAGACAAAAAAAAAAAAAAAAAAAAAACCAAACCAAAACAAAAAACCAACCAAACAAAAAACCTAAAGGGATAATAAGCTCCTAGGGCTGCAGCCCGCATGGGGAGGGCTGCATCTGGAAAGGTCTGTTTCCAAACCTTTCCAGGAAGTATGAAGAGCACCACCTTTCTCCTGCATGTAGCTTCATCTCCTTGCTAAGAAAACCATTTTTGGTATGAGAAAACCAGGGCGTCAGGCCACAAAGCTTCCAAAGGCACACACTGCCTCAGATACTAGATAGAGTGTTCTAATCAGCCAGGAGATACACAAGTGGCCCTGTGGCTGACAGCGCACCACAGACCACGGTCATTACATCTGCTCTTGACCCTGCAGTCCAGAGCCAGCAACGTCTGACCAGGCAGTATTTCATGCCATCCCGGACCCTCGAGATGTTCCCTCTTATGCCAAAAACTGACCTTTTGTTCTATTTCCAGAACCCTGGTGCATCTCTATTGGCTGTGAGAAAGGTCACTCTCTCTCAGGTGGAATATTCCATTAAAGCAGAAATATGCTCTTAAGGACATAAAAACAAGCAAGTAACTTCTAAAGTTAGAACAAAGAAAATCATGTTCGCAACAATGGTGGGTGAACACGAACACAGCCCAGGGTGACACATTAGGTACTGGGCACAGGTGAATACTGCATTCCCTGATTCTATAGCTCATTCCCTACACGACCAGAAAGAGAGAAAGAATACACTTTGGAGTCTGCAGTTGAACTGTGTTCCCAAAAAAAGACACACTGAAATCCTAACATGCTGAAGCCTATGGAACCTTGACCTTTGTGTGGAACCTTGAACTTTGCAGATGTCAAGTTGGGATGACGTGATTCTGAACTAGGGTGGGCCTTGGAACCAATGGCTGGATTTAATCAGGGTAGACATTGGGGGACCCTCACATACACACAGAGGAAAGAAGGCCGTGTGACAACGGAGGCAGGAACTGGAGTGGCACAGCCCAAAGCCAAAGATGCCTGCCTGGGACTGCCGGCCACTCTCAGGAGCTGGAACGGGTGAGAGGTGACCCTTCCTTAGAGCCTTGGGAGGGCACACAGCCCTGCTGACACCCTGATCGCACACTTAGGGCCTCTGGAGCTGCGAGAGCACACATTTTTGTTGTTCTAAGCCACCCAGTCTGGCAGCCCTGGGAAGCGAACACAGCTGGCATTCAGTTACTTAATTCCCACAGCTGCACAGTGCCACCTGTGTCCTGCTCCGCGGTCCTCCCTGTGCCC